GTTACATGCCGGGGCATTGGCCTGTTTTCCTTGATCTTGGGAGGGGTCCTCTCTTCCTCTAAGACACAAATATTTGTTTCATTCCCCAGATTAGGGAAGTTCTCAGCTAGGATTAGCTTAAATATATCTTCTAGTCCTCTCTCTCTCTCCACCCACTCAGGGATCCCAATAATTCTGACACTGGAATGTTTCATGGTGTCACTTATTTCTCTGATTCTGTTTTCATGGATTTTGAGGTGTTTCTCCCTGGCCTCCTCTTTTCCTTCTTGTCTATTAATTGGTCTTCTAGATCACTAATTCGTTCTTCTGCCTCACTTAACCAAGCTGTTAGATCATCTAGATTAGATTGGATCTCATTGATAACATTTTTAAGTTCTGCCAGTTCAGCTTTCATTTCTGCCCTTAGAGACTCTATGTTGCCATTAATCAATTTCTCCATTCTAGCTATTGTCTTCACAACTGCTACCCTGAAGTCCATTTCCGACATCTTGGTTATATCTGTATCCATTTGTAAATCTGTGGGAGAAGTCACAGTCTCTGAGTCTTTCCTATTTTGGGGATTCTGTTGAGGGGTGGTTCAGGGAGTGTACAGAGTCCAAATTATTGACCACAACCCAAGCAAGATGCACCTGTTTTATAGGGACCTTAGGGTATGCTGCCAAAAACTGCAGCGTCCTGGGCTGTGCACTCTTCAGCAGTATTCCCAGTCCTTGCCTCCAGGTCGGGGCACGTCTTTGCCCTTTTTGCTTCTAAAACCACCAGCTGCCCCCAGTTCACACGCATGGCCCCACTGCTCCAGGTTCCAACCAGGGGGCTGCCCTAAAGTCCTTTCCCCACCACTACTGGTCTGCAAGTCTGTGCCCCATCTCCAGTGCGAGAGGCTATCACTCACCGGCAGTGCAGGATCATCACGGCTCCCTCCTCCTTCCATTTATCTTCGGACATGTGCCCGCTGAATCACGGGTCCCCGCTTCATACCTTGAAACCAACCGCCTGCAATATTCTGTTTGTAGAGATCCACATATATCTTCCTACATCTCAGGCTGATTTTGTGTTCAGAGTGGTCTGGTAGATATCCAGCTCAATTCCAGGGACTGGTTGGAATAGGGTCCCCTACTCCTCTGCATCTTTCCTTCTCCCCCTCTCAAGTCTGGTTCCTGAAACCATGTGAGTAGCAGGGAAGGCTGCTGCAGCAGAGAGAGAGGCAGAACATATGAACATCATGTATCCCAGGATTCAAGTGATAAGGCCATTGTATCCCACTTGCACCCTATCTTTTTCATTTTTATTTTTCACTTGAACCCTATCTTAATTGTGTTAATCTCACTCCATCACTTTTCCCTTACCACTTGCTTGTTTCAGACTTACTCACTAATCCATGTGATTTGGGTACCTTAATCTGCCTGTGAGCCTTTCTGTACCATAGGCTCTGATATACTTGGCAATTATAACAGATAATTTCTTCACAGAACAGAAAGTTTCTTAAATTCAGATTGAGATGTTGAGTTTCTGCTTCCATGATATTAACATGCTAATAATTGTTTTTAAAGATTATGGGAATCAGTCTGGTCTCTGTTTTTTAATTTATCCTGGGACCCTAAGGGCCCAGGGTTTTATGAAAAAGAGTCCATGTAAGTTCTACACTACATGTAAACAAAGAGCAGTGAGCATTCCCTTGAAGAATTTATTTCTGGGGCCAACCCTTTTCATTGCTCTTCTACTATTTCCTTTTTTCTTTGTTAAACCTCTCAAGAGCAGTATAAATATTGTTCTCTTTCTCTCCACGCACTTGCCCCATAACCTACTGCAGTCCAGCCTTCCCACTCAATAGCCACTGAAATTCATCAGATGAATGTCCCAATGACCTTGTAATGAACAAATCCAATAGTTTGTTCTCATTTCTTACTTTGTCCTCATGTGTCATCTGACACTGTTAATCGCTCCCTACTTGACACATTATCTCTTCCTGGCTTCCCTGGTATTCCAAACCCTGGTTCTCACACTTCAACTCCTTTTACTCCATTCTCTGGGATATATTTTCAAAATCCTTCTTCTCTATCTCCTTGGGTGTAGGGGATCAAAATATGTCACTCCCAAGTATGTCACTTTGGCATAAGAATTATTGTAATCTGAAGAAAATTGAGAAATATCAGATACCAAAAAAGTTCTCTGCCCTTCCACTTGCCTAAAAAAACATAGATTCTTTTCAAAAAATTTTTAAGTTTTTATTTTTTATTTATTTATTTTTTAAGTAAGCTATATGCCCAGTATAGGGCTTGACTCATAACCCTGATATCAAGAGTCACATGTTCTAAGGACTGAGCCAGGCAGGCACCCCTAAGTTTTTATTTAAATTCCAGTTAGTTAACATGTAGTGTAATATTAATTTCAGGTGTACAATACAGTGATTCAACACTTCCATGCAACACTAGGTGCTCATCACAAGTGCACTCCCTAATCTCCATTACCTATTTTAACCCATCTCCCACCCCCTCCTCTTTAGTGACCATCAGTTTGTTCTCTTTAAGAGAAAAAGAATCTGTTTTCTGGTTTGCCTCTCTCTCTCTCTCTCTCTCTCTCTTTTTTCCCTTTGCTTATTTGTTCTGTTTCTTAAATTCCATGTATGAGTGAAATTATAGGATATCTGTCTTTTTCTGACTGACTCATTTCACTTAGCATTATCTTCTCTAGCTCCATCCATGTAAATGGCAAGATTTCATTCTTTTGTATGGCAGAATAATATTCCATTGTGTATATATACCACATCTTCTTTATCCATTCATCTGTTGATGGATGCTTGGGCTGTTTCCATAATTTGGGTATTGTAGATAATGCTGCTGTAAACATCAGGGTGCATGTATCCTTTTGAATTAGTATTTTTGTATTCTTTGGGTAAACACCTAGCAGTGCAATTGCTGGATCATAGGGTAGCTCTATTTTTAACTTTTTGAGGAACATCCTTACTGTTTTCCAGAGTGGCTACACCTGTTTGCATTGCCACCAACAGTGCAAGAGGCTCCCCTTTCTCCACATCCTCACCAACACCTATTGTTTCTTATGTTGTTGATTTTAGCCATTCTGACAGGTATGAGGTGATAACTCGTAGTTTTGCTTTGCATTTACCTGATGGTAAGTGATGTTGAGCATCTTTTCATGTGTCTGTTGGCCATCTGTATGTCTGCTTTGGAAAAATGTCTATCATGTCTTCTGCCCATTTTTAATTGGATTATTCATTTTTGGGGTGTTGAATTTTATAAGATATTTATATATTTTGTATACTAACCCTTTATCAGATATGTCATTTGAAATATCTTCTCCCATTCCATAGGTTGCCTTTTGGTTTCATTGTTTCCTTTGCCCTGCAGAAGCATTTTATTTGATGTAGTCCCAGTAGTTTATTTTTTATTTCATTTCCCTTGCCTCAGGAGACATATCTAGAAAGAAGTTGCTATAGCTGATGTCAAAGAAATTACTGACTGTTCTCTTCTAGAATTTTTCCATTGTATATTCTTTCCTGCTTTGCTGAAGATTGATTGGCCATATAATTATGGGTTCACATTTGGGTTTTCTATTCTGTTCTATTGATCTATGTGTCAACTTTTGTGCCAGTACCATACCATACTACTATATTACAGCTTTGTAATATAACTTGAAGTCCAGAATTGTGATGCCTCCAGCTTTGTTTTCTTTTTCAAGCTTGCTTTGGCTACTCAGGGTCTTTTGTGGTTCCATACAAATTTTAGGGTGGTTTGTTCTAGCTCTGAAAACACACTTAGACTCTTAATCACCAGAGACTCTTATTAGCCCAGAGATGGCATTGAGAGGAATCTACATAATCAGCTTTACTAAAACAACTCTTATCTTCCATTATTTTCCCTTATATATTTACCTTCCCATAGTTTGCCACACTTGGAAGCCTAAAACCCTTCTTGTTTTCTTGTCATTTCCCTACAAATTTATTGTTCTTTGTTAAGATGTTATGTAAGTCCAAATTCTCTAACTACCCCTTTGACTTACCGCTGAGTTTCTTTTGTATGTATGTACACTGCACATGTTAATAAACTCTGTTGTTTCTTTCCTGTTAATCTGTCTTTTATCAGCCAAATCTGTATGGCACCAGGCAGAAAACCTTGGAGGGTAGAGGAAAAGTTTATTTTCCTCTCCTGTAGTGCCTTTTCTTGTTCCTCCTGGCATCCCTTCCATCTCTATTCCATTGGCCCCAGAGAGTATGTGAACAGAAGTAGACCCAGCAACTTAGGCACTGGAGATCAGAGGGCTCTTGGTAAATGGTTTCTGTTTTCTGGCAGCAAATGCACTTCAGCGTATGTGGAGTGATATGAGACATATTGCAAAAACCTAGCACCAAGTGTTCTTTGCAACAGACTTTGTACACTACCACCCTTTAAGCAAAATGCTCCCAGAGATTGGAGTATTTGAGAGAGGTCAGGGTTGTGGTAACATGGTTAATAAAGCACACTCTGTGTCTTGGAGGGGCTTGACAATCTTATATAAAGGAGAAGTTGACAACAGAATCAGAGAGCATTTAAAAAAAAAAAAAAAAAAGACTCAGAGATCATAACCTGAGAGCAGAAATTTGAGTGCTGAAACACCACAAGGTTTTATTATTGCTACCAGCTGCTCCTGGTGAATGGCCAAATCAACATGCCAGGGACCTGTCTCACTGTGACCTTGAGTGTGTGTGTGTGTGTGGCCAGTCTGTGTGGGGTTCCTAAGAGATAGCTGCCTTAAAAAAAAAAAACAAAATCAAAGAGAGCAAAACCACAAATAATCCGTCATCCTGGTGACTAGAGGAGACCAAAGAGAAGTGATGCAAGAGAGTCATAAAATCTAAATCACATCTCTAGGTGTAGATCTATATTGTTAATGTTAAAGATTTTACTTATCTCATTAATTACAAGAGAAAAACAAGGAAAGATGTTATAACCTCTTCAAAGAAGTCAAAGAAGGCTGATCCTTAGACTTCAGAACTCTCTTCCAACATGGCCCAAGACAACTCTCCAAACAAGACCATAACAATGAATCAGAGACGCAGCCGCACCAAATTCACAGAAGATCAATTGAAAATCCTCATCAAGGCATTTGACCAAAATCCTTACCCAGGTTATGCTACCAAACAAAGACTTGCTTTAGAAATCAACACTGATGAGTCCAGAATCCAGATTTGGTTTCAGAATCGAAGAGCTAGGCACCAGTGCCAGAAAAAATCAGAACCCGATGAGGACTTAGAATCAAGTCAAGACCAAGATCACTCTGAAGAGGAGATTCAAAGTAGAGAAGACAGACGGTGTCGTACCAGCTATACTTCTTCACAATTACACACCCTCATCGGGGCATTTATGAACAACCCTTATCCTGGAATTGATACCAGAGAGCAACTTGCTAAGGAAATTGGCATTCCAGAGTCAAGAGTCCAAATTTGGTTTCAAAATCGGAGATCCAGATTCCATGTCCAGAGAAAAAGAGAACCTGATGATCAAGACTCAGAACAGAGACAAGACCAGGAACAGGATCTCTGGGATGAGAGAGTTCAAGACAACTGTTTTCCCAATAAACTATTGGGCCTTTTCAGACCCAACAAACCCACTAGCTGTCTCTGCGGAAGCCTGGACTCAAGGTCAACTGATACAGTCCCAGCCCATGAACAAGGAAGGCCCTGCATTTCTTAATCAAGAAAATGAGCCCAAGACCCCATCCAGCTTATACCAGCTGCCCTAAATTGCTTCCCCTCGTCCTGGCATCAGGGGCTGGGTTTTGCTTTGTTCTGGTGTTCTTTACCCCCAAACGAATATGGGATGTATGTTACACATAGGTTTGCTCATTATGCACACTCCGTCTTTACTCATGAAAAGTCATGCTCCCCCACTCTCTTCATCAATATGCATGTAGCCTCAACTCCTTTGATTATAAAAAACTTGTTCTCTCCCCCTTCCGGAAGGCGGGTTTGAAGCTCCCTCCCACCCCCTTGTCTCCTCATCTGGCTGCCTCTTGAAAAAACCCTTTCCTTTCTGAAAAAAAAAAAAAAAAAAAAGAAGTCAAAGAAGAACAAATTTATGTGGAATAAAGAAATGTTGAAATTAATGTGCAAATGGAAGCAAAACTGGCTTGGAGTGGGGCAAGTGGGTTGTCCTCCACTTGAACAGACATCATTTGCATATCCATGGGCAAGAATTACTTTGCATTGTTTTCAATGCTTTGTTGTATCAATCAATTATTTTGAATTGCTAACAAACTTACAGAGGTATAAAATAGCTCTCTTAGGCTTAGAATCAGATAACCAAAGAAAGTGTGCTATAGACAATGGGGTTTTCCACTGAAGCAAATTTTTCCCTAAATGGAAAGCCTTGGAAGGATACACAGCAAACATCTTTGCCCTGCCAAAGTTAGGGAAGTGCTCTGTGCTTTCTTTTAGATAGTTGTGTAAAATGGGGCTCTTAAAAAAAGGTATTCATGTAACGTTTGTTCTAAAAAAAGGGAAGCAACATTTAAAAGCTGACTTGAATTGAGTGCTGCACAATTTAAAGGATAAACACATGTGTAGTTCTTTAGTCAGTGAATGAGTTTGAATCCCAGATTCACCACTTAACAGCTGTTTAATCTTGAACAAGGTACTTAGCCTCTGTAAGTCAGTTTCTTAGGCTACAAAAAGGAATAATATTAATACCACCCTTTATGGAATTATTGTGAAAATTAAATGAGAAAATGTATGTAAGGCACTTAGCACTATGGCACATAGTAAACATTAATAATATTGCCTGTTATTATTATATTAATTGCTGTGAAACTGAAGTAACGTGGAAAGGCAGGACCTGAAGAAGGGTACTGTGAGGCCAAAAACTATGAATCACTCTCTGAGTAACATCTTCAGAAGGGCCTTGATTTCAGACAATGTAAAGTTCAAATATATGTTAGTAACTTTGGGAAAAGTTATGCCTGGAAGAGTTTGAAGTGTCCTGTGTTAGCCAGTTCATAGAATTATAGAAATTTAGTCCAGTTTTTTTTTTTCTTTGCAGGCTAGGAAACTGTTAGGGACACGTTAATTGCTTTGATGTCACAGAAAACTGTAAAGGACCATAATGGGAGGCTCTGAGAAATGAAGGACAATATGCTATACCGAAATATGCCAAAATATGCCAAAATATTTCAAACAGAAGGCAATTGAAAATGAACAGATAGAGAAAGAAGTCTTCCTGGAGATTCCCTTATCTGATTAAAAGTAGAAATTTCTGAAAAATGATGACAGCTATAAATCTTTCCAGGGGAGTTCTATGACCACAAATATGGAAAGCTGGCTCTGAGAGGAGTCTACACAAACAAATTCTACTAAAATAATCTTTATCTTCCATTAGTTTCCCCACATATTTACCTCCTCTAAACGCCCCCTCTCCTTTATCTAGTACTTTCTACAATTTACTGCCCTTTGTTAAAATGGTGTATAAGCTCTCAAGCCTAACCACCTTTTCAAGCTTTTACTTCTTTTCTGTGAACTCCCATGCATGTAAAGTTGAAAATATTAATATCAATAAAAAATTATATGCTTTTCCTTCTGTTCTCTGTCTTTTGCCAGTTTAATTTACAGGCTGCTGCTATAGAACTTAAGAGGGTAGAGGGAAGTTTTTCTTCCTCCACAGAAATAACTATCAAGGAAGACCAGGTGCCACAGTAATACCAAAGGCCTAGGAATGAGAAAGCTATCTGACTTGAAAAAACCTGAGCAGCCAAGGTCCCTGTTTACCTCTCAACTACCCCACCCAACACTTCACTCTGACAATCCATTTCCTATCTCTCTTCCCTTCTCCTTTCTCTTTGAACAGATTGAAAATCAACCAAATTTAATGAGTTTCTAATAGAGACATTATGTTTTTATGAACATTTACTTCTTTGTCTTCTTATATGTAGCACAAATAGAATCCCTCCTTCAAAATCAAGCCAGGAAATAAAAACAAACTGGCTTTAACCAATTTTGAGCATATTTGGGAAAACTTTTCCTCTACTGATTTAAGTCTTATAGCTAGGGGCCTTCAAATTAATTGACAATAGACAGATTAACAGAAGAAAACACATTTTGTTCACACACATGTAGGAGCATTCAGATGAAGAGATTCCCTGAATAGCTAGAGATAAGGGTTTATATACCAATTTAATAGGTCAATGGGAGGAGGGAGAAACGGCTTCCATGGGAAGAGCAAATGGGCTTTTAGGGAAACAAATGGAAGGTATGACAGTTTGTGATAATGTGTGTTTATGCAATTTTTCATCCCTGTGTGAGTGGTCAGTCTTCTCCCTAGGAGTGAGGCTCTCTCAGAGAGGGAATTTATGGCAGCTTCACTCTCTGCCTATTAGTCAGATAAAAGGGAAACTCTGAAAAGGCTTCTTTCTGCATCTGCTATATCTCAAATGTCTTCAGCTTAATCTTCACACCAACTCTGGGAATCTGAGTGAGTCTCCACAGAGAACTGTCCGATGCAAAGGTAAAGAAAGTCACTTCAAAGGAAATTCCAGAAATTTAATAAATATACATATAAAATTTCAGATGATCACATTAAAGTTTATTGTTTAGAAAATAATAATGAAAAATATAGTGATAATTATACTGTAAGTTTCTATGGAAAAGGCTGATGAACTGTGAATATTAATGTCAGTGGCTCAAGAGTTTAAGGAACAGAGAGCACACGTAATAATGACTTCTATACAATTCAATTTCCTATTTAGCAGGGGACAAAACATTTAATATCATTCAAATTTGTCATGGGAACAATGAGCACCTTGATATCCTGGGGATATGTTAGAAGTACCAATGTTTTGTGAGATTGTTGAGTATTTCATTTTTCCTCCGTTGTGGCTGCCGTGATGTTTAGAGCTATACTTTCTACTCCTATGTTTTGTGAGTTTGTTCTATATCTTGGTACCATGACATTTTCCAATATTAGGTACTGGGGGCAATCTGATTATTTGGTTGTGTACAGTAGAACACCACCAACCTACTCTCACAATATGATATTTTTATCTGGCAATCAACTGTTCCAAAACTCAGTAATTTAGGTTAAGCTTGTGGCTTCATTGAGGCATATCTTCTGTCCTGACTTGCCCCGAACTCTCAAAGTCCCAGTGACTTTCCCAGGATTCTTTTTAGTAGATCCAAATCTATGTATTCACTCAACAAATATGAGTTAAGCATTTATTATTTGCTAAGCATGTTCCAGACTTCTGGAAATGCAAAAAGAATATAACTTATATGGGTTTTCATGAATCTCAGTCTAGTAAAAAAGAAAGACATGTAAATAAATTGTTGAAATATAATGTCATACATGTTATAATATAAATGAGCACAATAGAATCTTCCTTAAATGACTTCTTCTTAACCTATTCAATGGATTAGCCAATGCTCATGGTTCCTTTAGCAAGACTAAAAGAAGACTTCAACTACCTCCATTTGAACCTCAGTCTGTACTTTCTAATTCATTAAGTTCTTCTTTCCAGCTCATCTCTTAACTCAGGCAAAAAAACAAAACTACCCCGCAAGCAATAACAACTGCCCCAAGCCAGCAGTACCTCCTGTGTTGCCAACAACAGACAACAATCAACCTAACCTGCATGTACCCACCTACCTTTGTCTCACATTTTCCTTATATAAACCTAGAAGTATTTTCAGCATTTTGGAGACAGTTTTTGAGACATTAGTCCACTATCTTCCTGGTGTTGGCTTCACTGAAATAAATTTCTTCTTTTACCACCACCACTCTCTGCCTTTGGATTTTGTCAGTAGTGAGCAGCTGAACCTGGTCTGTTTGGGAGCCCTGGAGCCAGGTGCTTTTGTACCCCTTCACCCCCATTACAAGACATGGCTGATAGTCGTAGCAATTTGAACACTTTCAACCAGTGGACTCATTTCTATAAATACAATCACTTCTGCTTTTATACAGTCATATTGCATTCTTACTAATAATCAGACATGCAAGAAGAATAAAAAAGGAAACTTGCTCAACTTCTATTTATTATAGGGGTATAGTAATTAAAACAATATGTGCTGTAGGAGGGGGAGAATTTTGACATATGAAAGTGAAGCATGGTAGATCAGTAGGGGAAAAGAGGAACTATTCAATAAATTGAGCTGGAAAAATAATTATCCATATAAAAAATGAAATTGGATTTCTAACTCACACCATGATAATAATCAACCACAGAGAGATTAAGGACTTGAAAATCAAAAAGTAATAATTTAAAACTTTTAGTAGCAAATATGGATAAACATGTTTTTGGCTTTTGACTAGCAAAGGAATTCTTAAGACACAAAAAGTACTAAACCTAGAGGATAGGAAAAGTCTGCCCATATAAAATCCAGAATGTGTATTCATCAAAAAAAAAAAAAGAATGTGTATTCATCAAAAACACCTTAAAGAAAATGGAAAGTCAAGACACAAACTTGAAGAAGATATATTCGTTACACATAACTGATTCAAGGATTAGTATCAAGACTATAAAAAGAACAACTATATATGAATGGGAGAAGGACCAACCCACTGGAGATAAAATGGACAAAGATCATGAACAGGTTTACACCTGAAGAAAAACTAAGTTCAATAAAAATGAAGAGATATTCAATTTCAACAGTAATCAGGACCACAATCAGGACCATAATGACATGCCATTTTCTACCCATCTGATTGGCAAACAATGTCAAGTATTGGAGAGGATGTGGGTCAACATATGTCTTAAACAT